CCTCGCCGTCACGAGCAGATCCCGATCCCTGCTCCCACCCCCTCTGCTGACAGGGTCTCCCCTCTCCCCCAGCCACCCAGCTGCTGAAGGCCCTCCTGGCCCGCGGGGCGCGGCCAGCCCTGCTGCAGGGGCTGGTCGCGTTACTGACGCCACCCGGGAAGAAAGCGTTTACCTTCCGCGACGAGACCGCCAAAGGTAAAAGAGCTGCCCGAGGCCTCCGGGCACGCAGCAGGCCATGGCCTGACAGGGCGAGCAAGGGGGTGTTCTCCCAAGGTCCCTCATCCCCTTCTGCAGGGCTCTGCCGTCGCCCCTTGAGGCGAGGGGCGCAGCAGCGAGGGCTGCCCGGGTCAAGGCAGTGCTTGCCTGCAGCACCGGCGCTAGCGCGGGGGCCGCCAGAGACCCGCTGGGGTCTGCTGGGCGAGGATGATGAAGAGTTCCCGGCCCGGGTGTTTCCCGCCCTGACTCAGCAGAGCAGGCGGCGGCGCCCCAGGCTCTCTGAGCTGTGGGCATCATGCCCACAGATCCTTGCGGGGTGCTACGTGCGATACGTAGCCCAGGGTTTCCCTAAGGCGCGTTTCCTGAAAAACTACATCCTCCTGTCATGCTAGCAGTGTAACTCCACCTCCCCTCCTTTCTAACACCTTAGAAGTGTTTCAAAGCATCGTTCTCACCTTCCTAATGTTCCTTACGCAGACCCAACCGCACTTTCCCCGAGGGAGCCCGTGCTGGTGTATGTTCAGCGGGCAGCTGCCGCAAAAGTCATTGGGTAAGAAACTCTGGAGCAAAACCCAGAGCAGCATAAAAGGGACCTTAGAGAAGTGGCTTCCTCCGGGCAGGGAAGGACCAGGACGCATTCCTCCCGGGGAGCATCCACCTCTGGCGCTGCTCTCTGGCTGAGAACCCCAGCTCTGCCAAGTCTCCGGTGCTAGGCTGTTCGGAGATGGGGTGCGTTCAGGAACGGGGCAGAGCTGCCGCCTGCAGGTAGCGGTGCTCAGCCCCGCCTGCTGCTGGCACTGGAGACGTGGAGTCCCATCCGCTCTGGCCCTGTCTGCTGTCACAGTGTCCCCTTTATGGCTGGGCTGGAAGCAACGCGCGTGCTCTGCCGCAGCACAGGGCTGAAGGGTGCTGTATTGCTCATGGCCACTGCATTTTCCCCATAGCTGGGAGCCACAGTGAGCAGGGAAACACCCTTATTTAACATCAGCCGCCCAATGGAAGAATCTAGTGCCTATGATTGACTGCAGAATCCTTAAGGAAATTTGTGCTAAAATTGGTTCATTCAGTATGAATTTCCTGCAGTGTCCACAAGATAGTGCTATCAGAACACTTTTCCTGCAAAAGCCGATGACAGAAAACCCTTGGTGGGTAGGGAGACATACAGGAGCGTCTTCCAGGGAGGTGCTCACGGAAGTAATGGTGGTGGTGGCTGAGTCCTGGGTTCTTTATGGTCACACAAGAAACTTGCTAGATTGTAGTACACACCAGGATGCTCCTGCCAGTCATTAAAGAATTGGTTCTCAGTAAGCCCAGACATTAAAGAATGGCTAATCCATGCACAGCCAAACATTTCTTGTTTATTTTGGGACTCTCCTGTCCGTTGGTGCTGCTGGGCAGGGTAGGAACACACCAGTTTCCATTGGGGTCACGCCAAGAGGCCCAGACTCACTTTGTTGTGTGCTGCTTCCCCCACGCGGGGTAGGTGCTGATGGCCTGTCTCCTTGCAGCGTGTTAGCCAAGGAATCCACAGAAGTGGCCAAAGAGCTGGTCCAGCTGAACGCGGTACGTGGCCTGATGGTCGCTGTGGGGAACCTGGATCACGTGGCCAGCCAGCGACATGCCAGCGTCTCCCTGGAGGTGAGCGTGGCGGTACACGGCAGCGCACATCGTAGCACGGGGTCTGCTCCCGGAGCGCCTGAGCAGAAACGCTCCCTACACCTTGGGGTTTTTTTTTGCCCAAGCACGGCAGACACAGTTTCACAAAGTGTCACAAAGGCAGAAGTGACACTTCCTTCAGGAAAGAGCCGTATTTCCCCTCCTGCCTGCCTCGCTCCTGCCACCCACCACACGTAGGGTGCTGGGGAGCCAACGGTGGTCCCCACACCTCTGTTCTACCCCCGGGCCTGCTGTGGGTAGCAAGCACAGACAGGGCTAAGGGGCTAACCAAGACAATGTGCCTGGAGCAAGACACTGGCACAGAAGTATAAGCAGGCTATTTTTTCCTGCTGGTGCTGGGTAAAGAGTTTTGGCCTGCCTCAGCACAGCTCTGCCTGTGTAACAGCCGCAGGGAAGGACCATGCTGTCAGTAGATGGGAAGGGCTGAATGAGTGGCGGCCGAGAACCAGGCTGCTCGGGCTGAAAGAGGGTTTACAAACCTACATGGTGATGCAGAGGGTCGGTGCACCGACGGCACAGCAGGATGAACCCCCTGGCAACCGCTGCACTGCAAGCACTGAAACACCCTCCCTCCTCTTGTCAGCGAAGGTGGGAACTGGCACTGCGGGAGGGCAGGGGGGAACAAGGTGAGGCTTGAGCAGCGCCCCACAGGTTCCTCTCGGTGCGTTCGTGAAGTGCCATCAGCAGCACCGGCGCTACAGGAGGTGGGTCAGAGACTCACTGGCATGCGACACAGGTTATCTGGAGCTACCTCGTCCATGCAGCTCTACCCTCTACACACAAGGCTCGCATCCCTTCTCCCTACACACCAGCTCTCTGTTCTGTTGCAGTATTTTGTCCACACGTTTCCCTTTGTGGAGGAGTGCGTAAAGAAGACACTAGGACACACACTGTTCCAGCGCTTTATGGTAAACATGCCTCCCTTACGGGGTTTATTAGCGGCCCTGCGACCTTGGTCTGGTTTGCAGGGATGTAGGGACTGTCTTACGCAAGGCATCCAGTCTTGCCTAGGAGCCCAGGAATAAAGCAACCCACCCTTTGAGAAGTGTTCATCTTCAGTCTCGGTGTTCAGGAAGATAATTGCTCTGACTCAGCCCCGAGACAGAGCAAGGAGGGATCTCGGACTACTGCCACTTCTGTGACAGTGGGAACTCGATGTCAGAAGTGTGAGCTGAAGGGCCATCGAGGCAAGACGTGACTTGAGCTCCTCCCAATCAGGTCCCTCCTCACTATAGCTCCCGGGGTGGATATACAGATTAGTAAGCAATGTTAGGTCCAGGGAGGGAAGGTGGAACAAACAAGGGGCAACATCTTGTTCCTTGCACCCAGGTCCCTCCTTACTCACCCCAAGACACCACTGGGCAAGGCTGGATAATCCAAGTACAGTAACATCTGAAGTGGAACAGGACTGCCTTGCTTTAGTCCAAACTCAGTAGGGCATAACAGCCCTTTTACTCTGGATGTGCCACCTTAACGTGATGCAGGGAAGGCCCAGGAACAAGTCAGCTTTGACAGCTCAGAGGCCCTTAGAGCGCTCAGCCCCACACTGCTTCCAGCACCTAAACTGTTGATCACACAGTGCCCCAGCTGTGGGGGAGGATCCCCTCAGGGTTGAAGTATCCCTGCTCTAGCTGCTTGTCACTGCTGCTGGCCCAATCCCATTAAGATCCTAACTCTTTTGCTGCCTTTTCCAGGACAGTCCCGAGACCTGGTACACAAAAATGGATCCAGTCCAGGCTGAAAAACTGGCCTCCAATATGGTAGATGTCCCCAGAGACATGGCAAGGATGCAGTCCACAGGTGTGTGTAGAGCTGGGGGCACGGACACTTAAATTACACCCTTTACTTTCAGGGGGAGAAGGCAGCTCAGGAAGCGGGAGAGCAGGGTGGGGGTCTAGGGCAGAAGGGAGTAAGAGTGGAAGGATGCCTTTGTAATCTGATGTTTGTATAGCTGCATCCTGTGTTGCTGGACCCAGAGCTCACAGGGCTGTTTTGTCCTTTCAGAGACAAACCCTGGAGCGAGCTGAACAAAGAGGAAACAGAGGGCAGCAGCACATGGCTCCCATCTGTCCTCCCCCACCCTGCCCCTCTGCCTCCTCCTTCCCAGAGGACAGGTTGTGGGCAGCCACCTGCACCCAAGTCGCACACAAGGGCCGCGGCAGCACCTTGCTGCACCTGAGCCAGTGGCCAGCTTTGCACTTCTGCCCTCAAATACAGATTTTGGTGGGCTACTGAACATGTGTATTTTGTGGCATGTCACCCATGGGAAATATATGTGAAAAAATGTGAAGTAACACCCGAGGGCTATCTTCAAAGCCTAAGTAAACTCCAGTAGTACAAGGGAGTGTCACAGGGGCCTTCCTACTTACCCCACATCATAGGAGCTGAGCCACTCACTACACACTGAGCTTTGCTCAGGTGCAGGATGGGTACCCTCTCAACCAGCTTCCCCCTTGCGAGGCAAGTTTTACACAGCAGGATCTCAAAATTAAGGGACAAAATTTATTTTGAGTGATTTTTATGTAAACATTACAAGTGTAGACTTTAAAAAAGAAACTTCATCCAAGAAATCAGCCTCTCTCTACAACACCAGCCAGTCTTTAGGGGCTGTTAGACTTCATCAAAATCAGCAAGAAATATATAAGATAGAAGATAATTAAATCCAGCAACATTTATTTATCAAATTTCTTAAAATACTGATTTTTTACAGTTACTTATAGTCCATTTTCTTTCTAGAAAAGCCAGACTTGCAACAGTTTTGCAATGTTCCAAGCACATCTGGAAAGGTTGTATGTACACTAGAAAACTATACACATATATCTAGTTCTATTAGAGACGACCATTGTCACTAGCAAAGGTCCAGATGCCAGACACATCCCGCAGATGCTCAGGCCCCCCTCCCCAAGCCTTGCAGGGGTGTGTTTCTAGCACTCTGCTGAGTACCCTGACACCAGGCCATGAAGAGAGAGAGGCTGCTGTCTTCGCTGCCCTTAGGCACGCATGGCCTGCAGACACTCTACCACATTTAAAACAGGAGTTACACAAACGACTGACAAACATGCAAGACATACAGAAGACTGCTTGTGAACCAGGTTTTGCTGTATTTACTAAGGCCTCTGCCGGCTCATCTGCTTGCTGGCTTGCTCCTCCAGTTGCATGGCAGCCCCCAGGGCGTCCAGTGTTTCTGTAAAGGAAGACAGTGACAGGGTGACTGACCTGGAAGCTGGGCTGCCCAGCCCAGCTGTCCCCCTCAGCAGGGCTCTGCAGGGGCCGCAGAGGGAAGGGAACTGGGCAAGCACTGCTCAGCCAACATCAAATCCTGCCTGGTCCCACAAAGCTCTTCAGCTGTACTTGTTCATTTCTACTCATCAACAGTCTCGAGCCTGCAGTTTGCAGTTCAGACTAGATGCCACTAATCCAGCCATCCCAGAGGGCCAGATTTCCCTGGCCTGTAAGGCAGAGAGGGTAGCAGGGCACTTACTCTCGTTATCTTGTCACCACCCCTCCAAGGTGAAGGGAGGGATACAGCTATCAGGCTGCATTTGAGATGGGAGGACAGCCAGGGCTGTTTAACCTGAAGCAGTGACTTTTGTCTTAACAGTTCACTTTGATGCCACAATCTTCAGCCTCATTAAAATAAAAAACCCTCACAGCCCTGTTTTTGAGGCACAGACTACACCAGCTGTAATAGCTCAAGGAGCAATCAACACCCAAGTTATTGCAACAGTGGCAGAAAAGTAGCAGTTACCAGCATCGCTTCCCCATCCTCAGTCAGGCAGCCAATGTACCTGGCACTCTGTTACCGTGTCTCAGCCAAGCTCACGCATCTGCCTTCCTGCCTCTCTACCACCGCTTCAACTGGCATGGTCCAAACAAAGTCAGGCAGCGCTCAGGGGCCAGGCAGCTGACATCCACCTGCACAGAGCTGGGAAGTCTCCCAACCGGGTCAGAACTGAACAGCTGGAGGGATTTTGTTGCACATTAAGTAACACCCTATGCTAAGGCACAGGCGTGCCAAACAGGTCCTGGCAGACACAGCATCTCAGTACATGCCAGGCAGACGCTTGTACTAAGCGTATGGGCATTAAGGCCTGATACCCATGAAAAGAGGAGTGGAAACAGTGGGCATACCCCTATGAATCCCTAGAAGGTGGCACTGGGACCTATTTCTCAAAGTCTGTTTTTGGCCAAGGCAAACAGTAAACTATAACACCAACGAGCCAGACCTGCACTCATCTGCTCTTGGTGGTTATTGCATTCTGCTCAAGGGAAGGCAGTTTTATATGGCAATGCAAAGCAAGTGGAAGTTACTAGCCAAACTAGTAACTTTGGAAAGTGCAGACAACAGGACATTTCAGATCTGTTCCTATGATCACCTAGGAAAGTGATCCAAACCGTAAGCTCTGCAGGAGGAGTGGGTGCTCAAACCCCCACAGGTATGCTGGTGTTACTTTCAGGTCTTTAAGAAAGATTAGTGACAGTGCTAGTCAGAGACAGGCATTAACATACCTCTGACACTAAGGAAGTTTCTTGAGCTCTCTCCTACAAAGTGCTTAGCTCTGCTCACAAAGGTCTCGAGATCATAGTCTGGTTGCTCTGTGATTCCCAGGAGGTAGTCAAGTTCAGTCATCATTCTCTATATTTACAAGGATAACAAAGATGAGAAATGGACTTTCTGGAAATTCAATTAGTTTCTTCAAATCTGGCACACCAACCAACAGAGCTGAGCTTCTACAGACCGGTACCAGTCAGTGCTCATTAGCAGCAAGTAGAGGTTGCTAGTTGGAGGGGAAGGGGGATCAGCTGGCCACAAGCACCAAAATGCCCCAGTTTAACCAGTTGGGCAGGAAACCACAGGAAAAAGTTGGCAGTGAGGAAAAAGTAACACCACCGACAGCACCTTGCAGTACAGCCCCCAGCCCACCCAGCAGCACTTGGCTCAGACAAGGCAAGGTGCTATCAGCACGTAGAAGGCAGCCTGGGCTGGGCTTGCCGCTTCCACATACCTGTCTCAGGTCTCTAAGCTGTTCTACAACCTTCTCCTCCCGTTCACTAATCTGAGTCATAGCCTCACGGAAGTTGAACATGTGGGGAGAGATATCTTCCTCCTCATACTTGGAGAGCTAGAAGAAACAGCCCAAGTAAGAATAGCAAGTTGTTCCCAGCTTTGAGATCTGTTCAGCCCCACTGCACACACGTACATTGTGACCTGAGCCTTCTCCATTGGTCTCCGTTTCACCATTCTCAGTCTCCATCTGATTCTGTGTTTCACCACCTCCGTTATGAGGGCTGAGCTCTTTCACTCTGCAACAAGAAGATTTGTCACTCAAACTCTTCTTCCAGCAGTTTCTGGGCTACAGCATCACCAAACAAATACTGCAGTGAGTCAGTGCTCAGCAAGAAACATTCAGCTGCATTTAAAGAGTTGCACATTACCACCCCCAGAACAAGCTCACGTGGGCAGAAACCTCAGAGGGCTGTGGGAAGGAAAGCAGAGAGATGTTTGTCTCCATGCCCAATCTAGGACCCCTCCTGGAGAGAAACATCCAAGTACGTAATGCTCATTGCCAGCAACGCCTTTCACAGAAGCCGTCTTCCACATGTCTGCTTGGTCTGTCATGACCAACTAAGACAACTTAATATGGGAAGAAAAGGAATAAGGTTCATTTTTTTCCCCAGAGACCCACTGTGCCAGAATAGGTCTATCATAAGGATAAAAGCCATGGCTGATGACATGGTCCTAGAGGCAGCTGTCAGATACCAGCTGGGCATTTCATTCCAGTTACTAGCATCAGCTTCATATTTCCAGTGAGGTTCAGCCTCACACCCCCTTTCTTATAGCTTAACTTGCCGTGTGCACTGGCTAAGAAGCCAATAGGCCCAACTCAAGACTAGAATCTTACTGAAGCACGCTAAGTCAGATGTTGCATTTTGTCCTGTACTTTCAGGTGAGCAGAAATGACTGTCGCCCAGAAGAAAAAAATGCAACTTCAGTCCAGAACCAAATCTGGGAATCTGCCAAGATTCACGGTGTTCCTGAATGCTTACGACAAGAATTAGCATACATCCTTTCAGAGTGTGGAATGCTTTCCAGGAAGGAACCAAGCAGCCTTTTGTGAACTAAATGAAGGAAAGCTACCAAGCCTGAAATGTGCAAGTGTCATCTTGTTAACATATGACAAAAGTGACAGTCTCTTTACTTGTCACCTCACCGGAGAGGTGTAGAGGCATGTAAAGCAGAGACCGGGAGGCACTCACTGCTCTATCGCACAGGTTCCAGGTATCAGCAAGACCCCCAGGGAAACCTGGGGCTCAGTCCCTGCAAATCTACCCTGCCCTGCAGGTAGCCAAGGTTAACCACGGGGCACTCAAAACACACACTCCCACCATCTGCTTCAAGGCATTTGAGTTCTCCAGGTCCTTCAGATTTTGCCCAAAATCTCCAAGGTGCCATACCCTATTAGTTCATATCAAAAGTCCATCAAGAACACCAAGTGGTTTGTGTCATCTGCAAGGGCCATGTCAGGGACACATTCTTAGCACACCTCTTACAGATGGGACCCAAAGTACTACAAAGAGTAAAGGGCACAGAGGTAACCATTCAGGACAGAGCAGACTCCCTACAGAAACCAGGGCAGTCTGAATTCTAGCATGAGAGCCTCCTCTGAGGAAAGGAGACATTAGTCACAGTTTAATACAATCTCTATTATGTCTCACACAGAGAACAACCAGGTTAGTTTCATAAGCCAGCTCTAAGATCACTCGCTGCTAACAAACAACTTCCAAACTGCCATTACAGGCGGTGACAAGAGAACTTTCGGTCAGAATAAAAGCAGCCAAAACTCCTTCTGCAACAAGAGTAGAATCCCCAGGTCAGAAAGGCCATTACCTGTCAGCGTATCTCAGCGTGTTTAAGGTGTACTCGCACGAACTCATGCCTGGGGAAATCATTGCTATCTGCAAACAGAACAAAATACCTCAGTGACTCCCACAACTGACTTTTGCTCATGATAATGGTCCTACAGATCTCACGAGGCAGCTGGGACATCTTAAAGCAAAGGGCCAGAGTTGAGACATTCTGTCAAGTCCATTTTTCTTTGCAACTTCTATAGGACATGCCAGTGGCCCTCTATCCAGCTTTCCACTGGCTTTGTGTGCACCCACTGTGCTGCACCCTCCACAGGAAGCAAAGCCCTTTGAGAGCACACCAGGCTCTGCTGCAGACTCACTGCGTGAAAGTAACTTCTGCAGCCCTGCTTCTACTGGGGCTGGGCAAAGCTCACCAGTTTTTGATCTAAGTCACCATGGGTGAGTGGAAGAGGAAAACTGTATGACTTCTTTGCAGAGAATTGAAGCTTTCCGACTTCAAGGTCCCCTCACTCTAGAAGGGCATGCAGCTGTTTGGTCAAATTGCAGAACCCATAAGCAGCATGTGTGTTTGTGCCATGCGCACACTCACCATACAGGTCCTTGAGTTTGTTCCTATGAAAGAGTCTCTTAGCACCTGCGTCAGCTTGCTCTCCCGGAAAGGGGTATGAGATTTGTTCTGCCCTAAAGCTCGGATACATTCCTGAGAAAAGACAAGTCTTGTGAATGCAATATCTGCATCTCTTCTCAAACAGCTCTGCAAGCTATCAACCACCAATTGCTGGTAAATGCAACAGGCTGGAGAACGGCCATCTCTATTGCTCTGTAAATATTTCATAGCCTTTTAAATATACTCAAGGTATTTGACTGTCACAGGACAGCTAGTATATCCATTATATGTAAAAAAAAAAAGACAACTTGAACAAAGCTTGAAATGGCTGTACCAGTGTCTGGCCTGAGAAGACTGCACTGCTTTCCTGGAAACATTCTAAATGGAAGTATACACCATTTTTAGGGTTGTTAACATACCAAACTAGGATTTTTTTTTTTTTTGGCTGTTCTTTTCCCTTGCACTGGAAAGAAACAGAACAGTTAACCCCTGAGTTGAACAGAATCCATGCGTTGATTAGCACTATTTGCTCCTGGAGCTATAGCTCACCTTCAAAGCCAGCAAGCTCTTATTGATTTCTGCACCTTCCATTCGTGTCTGCCGATCCGCACTAGATGTGTCTGCGCCCCTCTCATTTCCTGCCAAATCCACCAAGGAAAATTTGCCAAGCTGTTTCCCTCTTCGGCGTAGTATGATTTGGAAGCAGGCGTGTGACCGCGAAGAGCTAGTGTTCGCAAAAGTCTGCCCAGATGTCCTACAGCAAAGATGAAAACAAGCGTTAGAATTGTGTCACAGAAGACGCAACAGGTCCCAACAACACTAGACAAGACCTGCAGCCATTCAATTAAGTTGTTTAACCTCCCCAGTTTTATCCCACACATTAATACCTCAAGTTTGCATGAATTATGGAATTACCTCTGATATAAGAGTACAGAAGGACTGCTGTAAAAAATATGAACCTGTACCCCAGTTGCAGAGATTTAAGGCTATTTAATCTGCCTGGCTCAACTCAGCCAGCCTACAGCAGAATGCCTTTCTGACTGCTAATGCCTTACATGCAGTGCTGAAGGGATGTTTTCCAGCTCCAAATGCACCTCCCTGCCTCAGGGCAGGCCACATGTCATTCTCCTAATGCATCTGCCGTCACACAGTAAGCTCAGTCAAGCTCCCCACTAAACAGCATTAGCTGTGCTAGCACGTTACAATCACATTAAATCCCCTTCTCCAGCCAAGCTAGCTTCGTACTTTACCTCTGCTGTGCAACTGCACCTGCCCCATCACTGCAAGACACAGACTGGAGTCTTACAAGTTACCATAAACCTCCCTGTGACCTTCACCATCATTTATTCCCTGAGAAGGCTGGCAGGTTCACTGCCCCACCTGCATCCCTGCTGCTGGGGGAAAGGGAGGGAGGTTGTCCAAAAGTGAGGCAGGAGTCTGAAATGTTAAACAGTTCTTGGCTGAACTGTCAGCCAAAAAAGCATGCACAGCAGAGTCCTGAATGAGCTTTCAGGATGTGCATATCTGCACACGCAGTGCAATACAGAAGCCAAGGAGTTCTGATTTGCCTAGTAATGTTTCCACAGCAGGTGCAACTTAACCAAGGCAGATAAGACACAGATTTTGGCTCCTGATTACAGATACCGGTACAATGGTAGAGTTGCCCTGACCACAGCCTTCCTGCCAGGACAATGAGCCAAGCCTACAGCTGTCCCTTGGCATGTGCTCTCAAGGATTCTTTAGCAAGATCCCCAAATGACATGCAGCATTTTTGTTGCCATTGGAATAGCTCATCTGGCCTGCAGTTAAGCAAAAGCATTTTTGCAACTGTAGGTTGATGCCAGCTGCTCTTCCTTGATCTTACAAGCCCACAGGGAGCTACTTGTGCCCTTGTAAACTAGCTGATACTTCTAGAAAGCAGCTAGACTGCTCAGTTTAGCTGTGGCACCAGTGCAGCCATCTCCTCATGTGATTTTTTTCTCTATTCTTGGAATTACATGAGGACATATGGACTATGAACTCTGACCTGCTCTATGGAAAGGTGGCTAAACCCATCCCTGCTAGCCCTTTATTCTGTAACATCTTCCTCTATTCATGCAGAGGTGCTGCTCAGTGCCTGCCTGTTACTGGGAACAACAAGCTCCTGTTTAAGTCTCAAAGCACCAGCTACAGACATTATATATTTTTTGTAGACACGGAGGCAAACCAGGACTTCTTATTAGTTTTAAGGCACCAAACCTGCAGGCACTGCCCATCTCAATCATTCTGATGACATCCTCAGCACAGCCAACTTGTCTCTCTTGGAGGCCAACAACCTGAACCTGCTGCTTGCCATCCTCCAGGACTCGAAGCTTTGCCTTCTTATTCAAGAGGTCAAACACCTATATTCAGGAAACAAGATAAGGCAAATCTGAACAAGGTCTCCTTGTAAGTACTTCGTGCTGTCTTTACAGCCTTCCAGTTCCATTCCAAACACACCAAGAATACACTATATAGAACTATAGAAACTAGTAAGTTTCACTCAGATACTTACAAAAGTTGCAGCCAAAGTCATCAGGTCAAGATTTAAAAAAAGAAAAGTCTTCTTACCTTTCCATTGTATATTTCAAAGAAAGTCACATAGACTTCCAGGTCCTGACTCCTGTACCTGGGCTGGTTTAGAAGGAGGAAGACATCTTGTGCTAGTGAGGAAAGGCAGGAGTTTATTTAACACATATATATACACACATATATTCTAGTTGCAACTTGATCTGCTTTCAAATATTGCGCAGCCATAAGGCAGTGTCTAGCAGATGAATGACAGTCATGCTAAACAAATGCTAGTGGAACCATTAGTGCTGTGCTGGAGAACAGTTTCAGCAGCATCCTCATCCAGGGTCTGAAAACATGGGGATACGGAAATTTCTGCTGCTAATGTCACCCACAGACAGCAATCCTTACTGATCTGGGGGAACACTAGGATCGGCCATTGTTTCAGGACTGCCTGAAACAAAGTCATGTATTTGTGTTTCAAGTGGTTCTTGTGGAAAGCCTAGATAACATGCATCCCTGAGCATCTGCATTGCTGCTGCTTGGAGAAAATATACCAGATTAGTTGACCCTTTGGCTGGATCCAGTGCAGCTTCTCACAATTAGGCTTCAGACTTTGAAAAGAGTTTGAGCTGAAAAGCAAAGACTTTCCTTCAGGGCCAGTCATAACTAATTTTCAGAGACTAGCAAATAGTTGCTCTTCTTTCAACTGCCTTGCTACACACACAGAGACTAGTTTCACAATATGCCTTTCTAAAGGGAAGGTAGAAGAAGTCAGGACTCGTGGTGCTTTCTAGGCATTATATCAAGGAGGAACTTCTAAGCATCTCTTTTCTGAAATCATTTTGTATGTGCTAGGTTTTTTGCATCCAATGCTTACGAGAAGAAACATAACACATACATTCATAAACTTTCTGTATAACAAGCTTTATATCAGAAATGGGTAGGGTTGTGTTGCATTCAAGTCAGGTATTTCCAAACACCATCCTTAGTATGAGACAAAAAGCAAAGCAGAAGAATCCAAATTGAATGGTTCAGCTCAGCAAATGCCAAACTCAGAACTATGTCATCTCTCTGCCTCAAACACAAATACCTGCTGGTGAATTAAGTGTGGATCTAGAAACTCACAGGCTGGATGGAAAATATTTTGTGAAACTGATTAAAAAAATACTTATACCTCCTGCAACCAACACCGCTACTTATTACTGAAAACACAAATACTTCATGTATCTTTTACTGGAAACATTTATTTTAAGTAACCACACAAAACCAGATCTTATCTATTTAAGAAAAACAAGCAGTAATTTGATTTTCGTATCTAAAGAAGAATCAACTTACATGCAAAAGCATATATGCCCTTTGAGGCATCCTGTGCTCTCCCGGAGAAGTCTCCGCCCATAGTCTGTGAAAAGAAGAGGCCAGAGGTAGAGCGTGGCACAAACAAGTCAGGCTACCTGATTTTAGTCCCAAGACCATACTAGGAAGTTACCATATATATATATGCTGTGATCTCAGTGAGATGATTAGAACACAGTGCAATTCAGGATAAAATTAGTTTGCTGCTTCCTTATCAGTTCAGAAAGATCTGGACTACGCAAAGCAACAGCTGAATGCCTGTAAGGCTCTGCAGTGCAGAGTCAAAGCAGTTGTTCCTCCAAGGGGAAACGCATGGCCGTGACAGTGCAGGCAAATAGCCTCTGGTCGGAAGAAACAAAGCCTCACTTTTTAGGGTGTAGGTTGAGTAACGTTTTCACTGCTACTTCCAAAAGCTCACGTGTGATATCGAAACACATCAAACTTCTAGAGCAGACAATACCTTTAACCCCATTGACCAAGGTACCTTTTATCCCAACAAAATTTTCAGTTGGTGCTATCCTGGTGACTTGCTCTACCACTTTTATACGAAAGAGTCAGTTATTTAAAACACAACTCAATCCCATGACACATTCTCAATCTACCAGAATATGCAACACTCCAGTCTCAGGGTACAGCTACTGTCCTTGCACTAGTTCTGCACCCCAGGATCAGGAAGGGAAAGTAACTTCATTGCCTATGGTTTTAGTGCCTCACAGTTGTATTCCTGTAACGATGCTCAGATGAGCAGGTTTCTCTGCCCATGCCAGTGCAATGGAGGCAACCTATGTACAAACTTCTGTAAACTTCCAAATTTCCTTCTGGATTACTGGAAGAGATCTACAGGTCACTACATAGCACTAATGATAGGAGATCCTAGCCTAAAACTTGCCTCGAAGACTAGAATGACAGCAACTGTCTGATTACTCAAACTGACAGGCTAGCCTAGTCCAGTCCAGATCACTGTGGTTAGAAATAAAGGCTTCTTGCAGAACAACAAAACAGCAGATTTGACTCCACTATCATGCCGTGAGGGAAGTTTCCCCACTTTCCTTCCCTATAGTTTCCAGAAGAAATGTTAAAAAGACAACACAGTTGAAAATTTAGAGCAGATTACCCTTGAGATAGAAAACAATCTTCAGGTCTCTTGAAACTGCAACTGGTAGACTGGAAGGAATAGTTAGAAAGTGAACGCACTAATTTGCCCACTTCACAAACAATTCCAGATCACTTAAATGTTTATATGCAACAAGAGGCTTATTCTTACATAATCACTAAAGTCTTTGGAACGCCTCCAAGCTCAAAACACAACACAGACAACGGCCTTTGTCTCAGGTGTAGGCTAATAGCCCCACTTTGCAGACTGGAGTTCAGCAGCAACAGCCATTTGAGGCAAGGAATAGCCATGGGTAACACTAACATGTCAGGACATCCTAAGTCTTTAAAAAAGCCACCTGGGGGGGATTTTAGTACGATTTTCCTCACAACGTCAAAGAAAACCCGCTAATATGTAAAACTACAGAAAAAGAGGATTAACAACTCAAAGTATTAGCTTTAAGACAGTGAAACCAAGATCCAGACTCCTTATACAATCCTACTCATTATCAACATCAAGGAGCCTTAAAATACTTTAGAGAAAGCTAGAAAATTTGAGACCTTTGAGAAAAACTTACATGTGTCTTGCCACTGCCTGTCTGGCCATATGCAAAGCATGTCGCCTTCCCACCCTCAAAGATGGTCTCTACAAGAGGTCTAGCAGTGAACCTGGATATTCAGAAGGTAAAAGACAATTAAGGCAAGCATTTCACACCCTGCTTCATCTGTTTTCCTTAAAAAAAAGCAAATAAAAACAAATCCTTAGGAAATCAGCAAGACCATGACAAAAATAAGCTTTAGACTTTTCAGTCCTTTGTTTCCCTCCAAAAAGAACTTCAATATTAATTTCAGGTAGCAGTTTCTTTAAGCCAGGATGCCATCTAGCCATGCTTTTGTCTTGAAAGTCATTCCCAATGAGAAGAAAGCATTACCTGTATACCATTTCATTAGATGAGGATTCATCAAATGAAAAATCAAATCTAAACGCCTGGGTTTCAAGGTATTTTGTTAGGTCCACTTTCTGCTTTGGCTCATGCACCAGCAGGACACACTTGCTCGGAACAGTAATCACATCACATTCCTTTTTTAGAAGTTCTGTTGACAGAAAAAGACCCTCAGTTTTAACAAGAATAAGCAATGTCAAACTGCTCCAAGACAGAGCTGCTTTGTCAGTACACTCACCTTGTTTATTGAGAGGGCGCTTCCTCACACAGACACAAATCCTATGTTCTTCTATCTAAAAGAAAAGTAAGAAAACAAGTAATAATTTCCCAATTACACCCACACCAACTTAATATTACAGAGAGAAAGATGCAATGCTCCCTCACATCTACTTTTCTGTACGCTGATCAGTTGCCTCTGCTACGGATCAGACCCACTCATGCAGGGATGGATGAAAGTCTTCAAGTCCCCTCAGTGCAAAAGAAACACTACAAAAAATTGATGTTGACATAGCGTGCTCCAACATATCAGGTAGAAATGCTGCTATGCTACAGAAAGTGCCCCAAATATTCTGTATCAGAGTTAGTAAGAAGTTTAGTCCTTGGCCAGCTTTCCAGCAAAATCTGTGATATCAATACTGCAACTATGGCCAAATTCAGGCAAATTATTATTTTAATTTACCCCAGAGGTATTTTTTGACCTGGAGTTCTTTACTGATGCAGTAAGTTTAGCTATTTGTGCAGCACAGCTACACGTCACTTGAGTTTGGGAAAGTGCATGTTCCATGGGGCAAGGCACAAAGCAGAAGACAACAAACTCCTCTTGAGTCGTGCAGCGATACATACACAAGCAGCTGGGTGTCAGCCCCGGAGGATGCAGGCACACAAACCACCTAGTGTTCGAAGCTAGTCCACACGTACTTTTTTTCTTCGAACTTAAATGCTGTCATTTTTCACTGACCATAACAAGGCTTTTACTAGACAAGGACTACTTGTTCTCAGGTATTCTACCTCCATAATTGCTGAAGATATCAACTGAGCCTGATTTTTTCTAGTTTTTGACCTCTACTTTTGCTCCTCTGCTTTTTGAGCTAGTTTAACATTATTTAATATAACTTACATATGATAACAATTTCTGTTATAAGGCAACAGTCCATTTTAAATTATACCTATACCCACAACAAGCTAAGCTACTATGTAATAGGCTCTGCCATTTACAAGCACTGAAAAAATACTGATGTTATCACACAGATCACTGCATGGTAATTGTTGAAGTGCAAGCTCTTCACTAGTGACATATGCAAAGTAATGCAAGGCAGCTTAGCCCTAAATAGGGGAGGCCAGTGATCTCACACATACTGCCAGGTGCCTCAAGATCACAATATGCTCAGAGGATTTCCAAGGTGCAGTGATGCACTAAATTGCTCGTATGCCAAAATCTTCAGTACAAAATAAAGTAGTCTGTCTACAGGCTACAGTTAGTAGCCTCAGTATTTACTTACTGGGTCAGTTATAGATATTGGCTGGCAGTCTAAAGTTGCTCTGAATTCCTTGATCATCCGTGCAAACTCCCAGTTTGGACAGCTGCTGTCAAATTCCTGCATGGAAAAACCATGGATGTGAAGGTAACTAACCTGTTACAGCAAAAAAACCCCAAAGTGTACTAAGCAATCAGCTGTACACAATTAGAAATATTTCACTTAAAGGCCACGAGATTCAGAACTTTCTGAAACTAGAATCAATCTATCCTTGTGTACGGCTTCGTAAGAACAAAGCCTGTCCAAAATGTTTTAGTTTCAACTATTGTGATGCACTATGCTATAGAATTTCCCCTTCCTGGTGTATTGTAGAGTACTCCACCTGTGCACGTTTTGCCCTGATTTCACTAATTTGAGCTCTCTTTTCTTCTCTCTTGTTTTTCATTTTCTCCATCTCTTTCACGATGTTAGATCCTCTCCGAACTAGATAAAACAAAAACATTACCTTGGATTAAATTTTCATACTAGGTTTTAAGCACAATACAAATATTTCAACTTTTCCAGGTTGCTGACAGACTAACTTGTGCAGGAAACAATCGTCTTCAGAAGAATGGTCATTAATTTTGCAGCACTTCCTTCCCAAACCAGATCTACCTACCTACCACAAACTACCTAGCAAACCCCACTGCCACTCTAAAGGCAGCATTTCTGAGGAGATACCACTATAACAGAATTATACATTTGTAATAAAAAACGCTCAAGATATTCGGTCTTACTGCCAAAGCCACCTTTTCAAAGCTTTAGTCTTGGAGTATGCAAAGCAGCAATCACATAGTGATGCATTGCTGACTGGCAAGTCAGTTCTTACCCACTGCTCCCTGGTACCTGGGCTCACTGAAGAGCTCATTCTAGCAGCAGGCAGATGATCCTCTGCATTTCCATTTACATTTGTCAGCGAGGCTTCTGGAGCACAGCTCAGCCTGCTAGTCCTGGTTCGGCCAGCTGCAAAAGGAAGCCAGACCAAACCCAATAATTAGATCCCGAAGATCAAGAATAATTTTGTCATTTGTAAAGCCTCACAGACCACAGGCATTCCTCAACTCTGATTCTGGATCAGGAGAGAGAACTAGCTAAAACCTGTGATAAGTGTGCAAATACTTTTTTAAATCCTTTGCTGATCACCAGCTTTAATTCAAAGCTACAAACCAAGGCCACACCGATTAGATAAGAATTTACTATCTAGCCTCTCATTTTGATGTCTGTGCAGAACTTAATACACAAGGTATGCCCTCAGCTATTCATAGGCAAGGTCTGGTAAAGACACAAAACTACAATTTCATAATTCAAGTAGGCTCAAGTTCTTGCTTTACTCAACCAGTATAGATAAAACTACTACCAGTATAGCTACAGAGTGTGTTGTCAGCAGTATTAAGGCACTTCTCTTACCACTCTAGCCCTGTGAATGCCACTTTATGCTGTTAAGCAGACATCACGTCCACCCACACGCACAACCACAGCTCTCTGGCTAATAAAGCACATCATTATTCAACAACATTGTTTCCAAAGTCCTTTGAGAACTCCTTCAGGTAGGACCCCTGGATATTTACATAGTGGCAGACCTCTAGGTCTCTCTTGTTTTATACACGAAGGGGTAGAGGTTGCTCTTCCCCCTGGGATTTGCAGTTTACCTAATTAAATGCATCCAAAGCATCTTGCTTCATAGTAAGAATTCACTGAGCTCTTTCTCCACTCACCAGGAACTGATGAATTGGTTTTGGTTTGTGTAGAAGTGCGGGGATCCACCCTCATCTCATTTTCCTGGAGGCTGCACTGAGATTCTGTGATAACAGACATCCTGGAACGGCCAGGAACAGCTTTGGAAACACGAATTCAAGGTCAGCATCATGCCTCAGACACTCAGACATTTGCAATTAAATCAAGTGCTCACAAAATGCAGAACAGTGGGGAACAAGGCGTGGTTAAAAGGACCATTTTCAGATCTCTGATGCATTAGCAAAGTGTGGGACAAAGCAGTGCAGGTGGGTGAAAAGCGATCATGAAGTATTCCACTACAGAAAAGCAAACAGTTCGCTCCAGATTTGTAGGTCCAGTGAATTTCCTTCAGATATTACTAAGGATTCACTAATATGGCAGTTCTAGAACCTTAATACCTAGGAAGGCAGAAGTTACAAGTCAGGGAACTGGGAAATCCTCTGAAGCTTCACACTTGCAGGGCTGTGTGCATTAAGCATTGGATGGCAACAGTAGTACTGCAGTCTGGCAACCGGTCGTGGGCAGCACCATGCCCACCATCACAGCACCCACGCACAGACTGTGTGCATGGTGCACAGTGGAGTGGGAGCTTGATAACACTAAATTCAGCCAAAAGACGCTATGTAATCACAATAGTAAATCTTTGGAAAGGGTCCTTTTGTAGGCAGTCTCCATTGTCACATGCCAAGGTATTTCTTTCACCGAGACCAAGTTGTCTGGGGAAAGGATTGCAACATGCACCTTAACAGATTTGTAAAGAAAGCAAATCTGAAAAGAAAAAAATAGAAGCATGATATGAAAGCTAGAACTGCCTTTACCTCTAGCAATTACAATATCTGTGTAATTCATATTATGAATTAATGAATTAATTCATTCCAAATTAATTATGTATTAAATAATAAATATATATTAAATAATATATTTAATATATATTAAATATATATAAATTCCAAATATGAATTAATTCATTCAATGAATTAATTCATTCCAAAAGCACTGCTCCTCTCACTTCCCTGAATGAGATGGAGACAGACACCTCCTGATCTTCTTTAATTTGTTTAGTCTAAGAACCAAAACCTGAAGCCAATGTGAGCTTTCCAATTGGTACAGTGCAGAGTTTGCAACAGGACAGATACTCACTGACACTCATGGGGTTTAGCTAGCTATAACAACAGATAATATTTGAGGAATACTGAAAACACTGCTTCTCTCTTGTACTCTGAGCAGGTCTTCAGTGACAAGACTGTGCCAATAGGAAAGGCAACAAATATTTCAGATTTGCAATTAGATTCTATGCTTCAGGAAAGCCATGACCTCTGTGAGGACATTTATTCATCAATCAGTGACTGGATTAAAACACCTTTTTTTTTTTCCAGCTATATATTAAATATATATATATTCCAAATATGAATTAATTCATTCAATGAATTAATTCATTCCAAAAGCACTGCTCCTCTCACTTCCCTGAATGAGATGGAGACAGACACCTCCTGATCTTCTTTAATTTGTTTAGTCTAAGAACCAAAACCTGAAGCCAATGTGAGCTTTCCAATTGGTACAGTGCAGAGTTTGCAACAGGACAGATACTCACTGACACTCATGGGGTTTAGCTAGCTATAACAACAGATAATATTTGAGGAATACTGAAAACACTGCTTCTCTCTTGTACTCTGAGCAGGTCTTCAGTGACAAGACTGTGCCAATAGGAAAGGCAACAAATATTTCAGATTTGCAATTAGATTCTATGCTTCAGGAAAGCCATGACCTCTGTGAGGACATTTATTCATCAATCAGTGACTGGATTAAAACACCTTTTTTTTTTTCCAGCTGGCTATCCAGATTAACTGACCTGTCTAGAGACAGTCATGATTTTAGCACATCATTTGGCTTGCCAATTCACAAAAGTTATGGAGAGTTCTCTAGATTCAAGGAAGATCAGGATTCTCTAGTACAGAGCAGCTTTTGACATATTAAGCTGCTTTGACTACTCCTGCCTCTTCAATGCAAGGGCATTTGTTCTGTTGTCTTCTGGTACCAGCTTCCCTGTCTTGCACCACATACAGCAACAGAGGCCAGACAAGCCCAGCTGTTTTGTTTACAGATCAATTGCATGGAAAAGCACAAGTTCTGGCTAACTATGCACTTCAAGAGAATCATTAAATTAGCAGCCTCAGCATCACACAAGTGTATCACAAACCTGTGATGCTGCCGCTTGCAAGTCAAAAAGCCAAGAGTCAACTAATAAGCTAAAAGAAGGCAGAATACGTGGGAGTTTTCTAACTCCCGACACCTCAAGAAAAACAACTCCTCAGCAATCCCACACTCTGACATCTCTATCTTCTCTTCTGGCTTTGCTCAAAACATCGTACTGACATACAGGCGTTGAGCTAGGGCACACCAGCTGGCACTTCGGCTGCCTGGTCTGAAATGTCTCCAAGGATAAAGCTCTAGTTATTGTCTGGGGGACTGCTTGCAGAGGAGACATCCATTTGTCACCACTATTTCTTTCTTGCCCTTTCCACTCTCATTTTGACACTTTTAATCTTAATAACTGCCACTTACCTTTTCTTGTTTGTGGCATTTGCAAAGCTCCATACGAAACTTTAAAACTCACTGCAACAGTAACTGCCTAGTGACATTTAAAGCAGAATCAAGGAATAACTACAGCAATGCTGCGGAAAAGGGCAACACATCAACAAACTCCAGCTCACAGGAACAGGACAGCAAGCTGTTAGCAAAGTTTCTGCACTCAGGAGTCCAAGTATGCATTGGTATGAACCAGTACGGTCTTTATTAGCATTGCCTGAATAAGCAGCTTTATGATGCGCTCAGCTAGAAGACCACCACTGTTTCACAGGGATATAGCAGAGAAAAGAACATTTTCTCACCTTCCCGCGGAGCAGGAATTTTTGAAAGGGTTGTTCTACGCTTCTGTTTCTGAAAAACAATAACTGCTGTAAGCAATTGGGAATAAGCTGCAAACACCTAGCACAGACTTGAAGACAACATTGATACAGCAAGGATTTCTGACCCAAGTCTACCTATGAGACAGAAAAGACAAGTTAGAGATCTCAAACTGTAAGACTGAGGGTATTATTTATAACAAGACCTATGCTGCTGACACTTTAGTACCTTAGGAGAGACTAAATCACTTTAAAGCACTTACCTGTACAGTTACATTTTCTTGCAAAGGAAGGTTCTCTTTCACATCTGCAGCAGGTAGTTCTTCTGACAACTCAGGATTTATTGTTATCACATCATCAATGTCAATCTACAAGAGCAAAGGCAGGATGTTAGAGAGTGGGATATTGCTGCCACCACCTACTGCATTTTTTTCTTTTTTTAACCTTGACTTTCAGTACAGGCAAACAAACCTCACCCACTGCCTGCCAAAAGTTAAGTTAAAATTGCCTGGAAGGGCAAGACAGTAGTTCATATTCCCTTTCAGTAGTCTCAGATGTCCAAATATGCTAGAAGAAACGTGCCAGTTAAGCCATTTACCCTCATCTGCCAAACACCATGCAGCTCTGCAGGTGCCCCAGAGCACTTCCGAAGAGATGGGCAAAGCACATTTGGCATCAACTGCTTTAATCTCTTACTGCTAATCTTAGTAAATCTCAGCTGCTCTGTGACTTCTGTGCTAGGAGAGCATTAAGTGTTTACTGTGCGATTGCACCTACCGAAATAAACTTCAAAGAGCTGCTTAGACCTTGGGAAATGAAGGATTCGGCATTTAATCCACAAGTCAATTCACCTGCATTCTCACTTGCTACTGCAAGCGATTTCACCTTGGGCCAGCTACCGTCTCCTGCCTGGCCCTCCAGTTAAGTCATAATCCTGCCTCCACCGCATTCTGCGGCGCCCTGGCACAGGCAGCTGCAGGGCAGGGGGAGCGAGGGGGGCAGGCAGCCAAGGGCAGGCTCAAGCACAAAAAGGCAGTAGCGCTCTCAGTTCAGTTTTTCAAACCTAACCCTGCAGGAAAGGTTGAAAGCACAGGTACACAAAAACTCTGGTATCGCAGCAGCTTGCGCTGGAATTCACCTAACAAAGCAACACAAGCACCACTCCAGGAAGTTCCTGAGTTCTCAATTAACTTTTAAATTACTTAAATAAAACAAGAGTCGATAAAATGAGCAAAAACAAGTAGGTGAACGTCTGTAAAATGTGGAGATACCACATTCTAACATAAGAAAAGTAATCTATAAAATTTGATTTATATGGAATCTTTAAGTATCTAATCAGAAAGTGAATTAGCTCAGAAACACATGTATGTGGACAATATAATACATACTAACGGTGTATAAGAAAATTTGCTGGTTTTTGAATTGTTTTCATAGAGTTTTACTATTATAGGACATACAATTTAGCCAATTATACCTGAATGTGCAAATGTTGCATATTTGAAGGCAGCATGCACAGGAACGGTATGAGATCCAATCTCAAAGAGCCAGCCAAGAGCTACTTTAAGATTTTTAACTAAACTCTAGAGTACAGGTTACCAGAGAAACAGAGCGGACAAGCAGGTTTGCTCCGTTACTAAAGGAGATTTTGTTAAGTGTCAGGACTTCAGCCACATCAGCCTCAAGTGCCCCAGGTTCCCTTCCTGAGAACCTCCCAGAGCATTTATTTTACACCAGCACAGAGACTGGAAATCAAACTGAGCCCTCTTCACACAGCACCTTATTAATGGCACACGAAGCCTTAAGGAAAGCCTGAAGGCCGTTGCTAGAGACACAAAAAGCCAACAGACAGCCCCCGGAGCTGGGAAAACGAGGACTTTGGGGCATTCAAAATCACTAGCCAACAGTGCGAGCGAGAGGTCCGCCATCCAGCCCCTTGTTCGCCCTCAACGGTTCGGACCCCGCTTCAGTACCGCTCCGCTGGGCCCACAGCGAGCCTAACTCTCACATCGTCCCCTTACACGCCTGTTTCATCGCTTTAACCACACACAACGTTAAGATAAGCCCAGAACTGCATCAGCTGCAGGGAAAAGCGTTGCTCACGCGGAGCCCGGCCGGCGGGGCGGAGGAGCGGGCTGCGGCCTGAGCACGGCCCGGGCGGGCCCTCACTCACCTCCTTGCCCTTGGTGGCGCCGTCCTCGGACCACTCCACCGACACGGAGGACCGCCCCACGTTCACCGTCTTCACCACCGCCTTGTGGATCAAGCCTGAAAGAGGCCGGCGTTGAGACCCAGGGCCCGGTCGCCCGAGGCCGCGACC